AGAAGCAAACTCACCCTGGAGGAGTAGATACTAGGAAATAATCAAATTGAGGGCTGAAATCAATAAAGTAGAAACTAGGAAAACATTGCAAAAAAAACCAATGTAACAAAGAGTTGGTTCTTTGAGAAAATCAACAACATAGGCAAACCTTTATCCAAACTAACCAAAAAGCAGAGAGAACATGCAAATTAACATAATCAGAAATGAAAAGGGGGACATAACAGCGGACATTGAGGAGATCCAGAGAATCTTCAGGTCATACTTTGAAAACCTGTACTCCACAAAATTCGAAAATTTAAAGGAAATGGACAATTTTCTGGATAGATATCACTTACCAAAATTAAATCAAGAACAGATAAGCAATTAAAACAGACATATAACCCCTAATGAATAGAAGCAGTCATCAAACGTCTTCCAACCCCAAAAAAGCCCAGGGCCAGATGGTTTCAGTGCAGGAATTCAAAGAACAGCTTATACTAATTCTCCTCAAATTCTTCCACACAATAGAAGCAGAAGGTTCATTGCCAAACTCTTTTTACCAAGCTACAATTACCTTAGTACCCAAGTCACATAAAGACACAACTAAGAAAGAGAACTATAGACCAAAATCCCTCATGAACATTGATGCAAAAATATTCAATAAAATACTGGGAAATTGGATCCAGGAGCACATCAGAGAAGTCATCCACCATGATCAATTAGGCTTCATCTCAGGGATAACTCACCACACGAAAATCTATCAATGTAATCCACCATATAAACAAACTGCATAAGAAAACGCACATGACCATCTCACTAGATACTGAAAAAGCCTTTGACAAAATCCAACATCCCTTCATGATAAAGGTCTTGGAGAGATCCTGGATAACAGGAACATACCTAAACATAATAAAAGCAATATACAGTAAACCAACAGCCAATGTCAAACTGAATGGAGAGAAACTCAATGCAATTCCTCTAAAATCAGGAACAAGACAAGGCTATCCACTCTTTCCATACCTTTTCAATATTGTACTTGAAGCTAGAGCAATTAAGACAACAAAAGGAGATCATGGGGATACAAATTAAAGGAAGAAGTCAAACTTTCACTATTTGCAGATGATATGATAATTTATGTAAGTGACTTGAAAAACTCTACCAGGGAACTCCTACAGCTGATAAACACCTTCCGCAAAGTGGCAGGATACAAAATTAACTAAAAAAAAAAACAGTAGTCCTATTATATACAGAAGATAAATGGGCTGAGGAAGAAATCAGAGAAACATCACCCTTCACAGAAGCCACAAACAACATAAAATATCTTGGGGTAATGCTAACCAAACAAGTGAAAGACCTGTATATCAAGAACTTTGAGTCTTTAAAGAAAGAAATTAAGGAAGAAACCAGAAAATGGAAAGATCTCCTATGCTCTTGGATAGGCAGGACCAACACAGTAAAAGTGGCAGTCTTGCCAAAAGCAATCTACAGATTCAATGCAATCTCCATCAAAATACCTGCACAATTCTTCACAGACCTTGAATGAATAATAACCAACTTTATATGAAAAAAACAGAAGACCCAGGATATCCAAAAGAACCCTGTACAATAAAGGAACTTCTGGAGGCATCACCATCCCTGACTTCAAGCTCTATTATAGAGTTACAGTCCTGAAAACAACTTTGTATTGGCACAAAAATAGACAGGTAGACCAATGGAATCGAATTGAAAACTCTGATATTAATCCACACACTTATGAACACCTGAGTTTTGACAAAGAAGCTAAAATAATAAATTGAAAAAGGAAAGCATCTTCAACAAATGGTGCTGGCATAACTAGATGCTGGTGTGTAGAAGACTGCAGATAGATCCATGTCTATCGCCATGCACAAAACTTAAGTCCAAATGGATCAGAGACCTTAACATAAATCCAGCCACACTGAACCTCTTAGAAGACAAAGTGGGAAGTACTCTTGAACAAACTGGTACAGGAGATTGCTTCCTGAATGTAACACAAGTAGCACAGACACTGAGATCGACAATTAATAAATGGGACCTCTTGAAACTGAGAAGCTTCCGTAAGGCAAAGAACACAGTCAACAGGACAAAATGGTAGCCCTCAATAGAGGAATCTAAAATGGCTGTTACATACTTAAGAAAGTGATCAACATCCTTAGCCATCAGGGAAATGAAGATTAAAACTCCTTTCAGAGTGGCTAAAATAAAAAAAAACACCAAGGACAGCTTATGCTGGAGAGGATATGGAGAAAGGGGAACACTCCTCCATTGCTGGTGGGAGTGCCAACTTGTACAGCCACTTTGGAAATCATTATGGCTGTTCCTCAGGAAAATGGGAATCAGTCTACAACAAGATCCAGCCATTCCACTCTTAGACATATACCCAAAAGATGCACATTCATACAACAAGGACATCTGTTCCACTATGTTCATAGCAGCATTATTTGGAATAGCCAGAACCTGGAAGCAACCTAGATGCCCCTCAACTGAAGAATGGATAGAGAAAATGTGGTACATTTACACAATGGAGTACTATTCAGTGGAAAAAACAATGGAATCTTGAAATTTGCAGGCAAATGGATGGAACTAGAAGAAACCGTCCTGAGTGAGGTAACCCAGTCACAAAAAGACAAACATGGTATGTACTCACTCATTTATGGATTTTAGATATAGAGCAAAGGATTTCCAGCCTACAATCTGCACAGCCAGAGAAGCTAGGAAACAAGGAGGACCCTAAGAGAGACACACATGGTCCCCCCGGAGAATGGGGAAAGAGACAAGATCTCCTGAGGGGAGAGGGAGTTAGGCGAAAGAAAAGAGGAGAAGAGGTGGGGAGAGGATGACATGAAGGAGCAGGAAGAATGAGTCGGTGGAAGAATAAAGGAGAGCAAGAAAGGAGATACTATAATAGAGGGAGCCATTATAGGTTTAAAGAGGTATCTGGCACCAGGGAAATGTGCAGATATCTACAAGGATGACCCCGACTAACAATCTAAGCAATAGTTGAGAGGCTACTTTAAATGCCCTTCCCTGATAATGAGATTGGTGACTACCTTATATGCCATCCTAGAACCTTCATCCAGTAGTTGATGGAAGCACAAGCAGACACCCACAGCTAAACACTGAATCCTGGAATCCAGTTGCAGAGAAGGAGGAGTGATGAGAAAAGGCTCAAGTCCAGGTTGGACAAACCCACAGAAATAGCTGACCTGAACAAGGGAGAACTCATGGACCCCAGACTGGTAACTGGGAAACCAGCATAGGACCTACCCAGATTTCCTGATTGTGGGTGTCAGTTAGGAGGCCTGGGCAATCTATGGGTCCTCTGGTAGAGTATCAGTATTTATCTCTAGTGTAGTAATGGACTTTGGGAGCCCATTCCACATAGAAGGGTACTCTCTCAGCTTAAACACAATGGGGAGGGCCTATGCCCTCCTCCAAATGATTTGATAGACTTTGGATATCTCCCATGGAAGGCCTCACTCTCCCTGTGGAGCAGAAAGGGGATGGGATAGGGGATTGGTGAGGGCCAGGGGAGGAGGGGAGGGAGAGGGGATTGGGATTGGCATGTAAAACAAGTTTGTTTCTAATTTAAATAAAAAAAGAAAAGAAAATGCCCTCTACTTTTAATTACAGCCAGATCTAATGGAGACATTTTTCTCAATTGAGACTCCCTCCTCCCTGATGACTCTAGCTTGTGTAAGTCCCTTTTATTGGAGGAGGGAGAGGGTTGCTAGAAAACAGCTGTCGAGATAATTGGTTGTTAGGACCTGTATAGAAGTGTGTGTGTGTGTGTGTGTGTGTGTGTGTGTGTGTGTGTGTGTGTGTGTGTGAGAGAGAGAGAGAGAGAGAGAGAGAGAGAGAGAGAGAGAGAGAGAGAGAGAGGAGATAAGAACAAGAACACACTATTGGAAGGGGAGCCATCAAGGTATCTGGGAAGACCCATTTCATAAGGCAAAGGAGAATTCATAGATCATAGGTTCTGGAGTTTAGCAAGGCTAAGGGGTGGGCAAACATCATGGGGTCACAAGTTCAGTGTTGGTTGAAAAACATGGTTTGCAGGGTACATTAGGCTTAGGAAACATAAACTTACTCTTGTAAGGTAGGGGGATTTAATGGCAATGTATAACAATGTGGCTCCTTAGCAGCATCGTGGCTCCTGCTTTGATTTCACACTCTGTAGTTCAGAAACACTCATCTTAAAAGCCCCACAGCCTGCAACTCATACCCAGCAACAGGGAGACCGAACACAAAACGTGTTGATTAACACAGAAAGTTAGCAATTCAGTAATTTCAAATAAGCAGGGGCAAGGGAGATGGTTCCATGGAAAAATTACTAGCAGCTCAAGTTCTGTCCTTGGAACCTATATAAAAAGCTGGATGTGATGGTGTGCATCTTGCCTTCCAGGTAGCCTGGAATACATGGAAGTAGATTACACGAGAGACCCTGCCTCCGTGAGGTAGCAGGGGTGAATGGCCTCTGAAAATTGCCCTCTGACTTCTACATACCATGGCATGTGAAGCCCCCCACATAAGTAAATATTTGAAAAATACAAATAGGAAGCTATCAACACATGTAACAAAATGAGCGAACCTTTGAGTTACCAGTTTTAGTTAGAAAACCAAGACAAAGCAGTGGCTGGTGAATTCCATTTATATGAAACTAGCAGAAGGGACAAAACTACTAAATGGCATTAGAGATTGACAGTTTCTACCACTAAACCCCGTCTCTAGCCCTGTTCCACTTTTTCTTCTGAGGCAAGGTCTCACTACATTGCTCAGGCTGGCCTTGAACTCACTCTGAAGTCCATGGAAACCCTGAACTTATGATTTCCCAGCTCTGCCTCCCAAGTAGCTGCAGCGCTAGGCCTGGCTTTAGCACTGCATTGTTGATGATTGACACTTGAGGTGTTTGTTCATATTAATTATCTTTAAAGTCTGGCTCTCTTTGTGTTGCTCAGGCTACACAGCCTCCTGAGTGACTGTGGCTAGAGGTGCATACTTACCTGGCTGCAGATTACAGCTTCTTGAACTAAGACGCTAATTTCCCCAGGAGTCGCCAATGATAACTCACACAGGAGAGAGGCCCAGCTCCGTCCAGCTCATCCACAGTGTCAGGAAATGGACCGTTGCCTCAGTCTCTGTCTGGATCATATCACAGCATGCTTCCCACACTTTACTTCCCTTCCAGATTCTGTCTGCCTCTGCTCTCTCTTTTGTGTAAGACCCCAAGGAATTCCATACCCAGCTATCAGCACAACAGTGAATGCATGGTCTCTGGGACCCATGACCCTTTCTTGTCTGCTTTCCTGCAATCACATCAATGTATCTAGAAGTACCCTCCTGAATGGGTTACTTTAGAGGGCTCTTGTGTCTCCTGAGCATCTACTATGTGTCAGGTCTTGTTGACTCTGGCCAAGGCCATTCACTCTCTTTTCATTTCAGGATAACCCAGAGTAATAGGCATTCGTACTGCTGCTGCCCATGACTCTTTCTCCAGATTATCCAGTCATTAAAGGAAGATGGTGATGGCTGGAGTCAGTGGACCTGTGATAAAAACTACTCGCCTTATGAATCATAAGAAGTTTTTCTAAAATCAACACGAGGCAGATTATGTGTCGAGGGCTTCTTCTGGCTGGGCAAGGGCCGGGCTAGCTGGCTAGCTCTTCAGGACCTCTTTTATAAAGAGACTAATGCGATTCTAGTCTTATGACTTAGTCCCTGTGTGAAGGCCAGCACTCTTACCATCACCTAGGGTTTAGGTTTTCAACGTACAAATTTCGGACATAAGCATTCTGGTGACGTTAGGTATCAAGTGGAATTTAAGACCTTTCTCCAGAGAGAAGAAAGGAAGAGGTGTTTGGGATACAGTTGACTATACAAAGGTCAAATGTAGACATCTAACAATGAGCCTCATGCTCGCTCAATCGCCAGAATTAGAGCCAGTCAGCTTTCAAGTCCAGTTAGTCCCTTCTGGTGAGCTATTTTTTTAAAATCTGGTACAACTTAGAGAAGAAAGCAGCAAGTGTGTATGTGTATGTGTGCGTGAGCACGCGAGTGTGTGTGTGTGTGTGTGTGTGGTGTGTGCGCGTGCACGCGCGCGTCTGTGCGTGGAGGCAGTGTATGTTTTTTGCTTTTAGACTCCTGGCTCCCTGACATCAGAGTGGGTTCCCATACCAGGGTGGTTAGGCATTGAGAGAAGCATCCGAGCAGACTCTCTGGGCGGGCGTGTGCGTGTCGGCGTGTCTTGCGTGGAGCAGGGATTGCTGTACCCAGCCGGAGGCACTGGAGGAGGAAGCCGTAGCAGAGATCTGAATAATTGATTCTCCAGCAACACCAGACGCCCAGGAGCGGGCGGAGAGCGTGGTTTCAACACCAAGGTTGCGCGCCACCGCAGGCTCCCCCATCACCAGCCAGACACCTAGGTTGGCCTTGTTCACTGCCGCCTTGTGCTCCAGAAGAGGGTGGCCGCACTCCGCGTCGCCGCCTAGGGACTGCGGGGTCTGTCTCGGCCCGCCTCCAGGGTGGGCGGCTGCAGGCGGGCTGGAGCTCCAAACATCCTCGGATTGCGCGGGGGTTGCTGCCTTGTGTCTCGCTGGCTGAGAACAAGTCCTAAGTTGGTGGGGTGGGTGTCTTTGCCTTCCTATATCCTCCAAGGCGACCGCGGCAGAAGCGCGCCCTAGGATCCTGGCTTCTCCAGTGCTGTGAATCGCGGCGGCCAGGCGCTTTCCTGGGCTCCCGCTGACCAAGTGAGGGACCGACCGCCCAGCACGGAGCTAGCCGGCAGCGAAGGGCCCGGAGGGAGCTGCGGTCCTCCGCCCGCAACCTTCTCGGCCAGGGACCGCGGGGATCCCCGGCCACACGCGCGCGCGCTCCCACACTCACTCACACACACATTCGCTGTTCCGGACGCCAGGCTGGAGCTGGGTTGCGGAGAGGGTGTCTAGGCGCGCTCAGAGGACCTGGCAGCTGCTGTCCGGAGTGGAGCAGGAAGCTGAGCCAGGGCTCAGAGAGAGAAGCTCCCGGGGTGCTGTGCCGGAGCATGGGGACGGATGAGCTCTGAGAGTCGCGGCCGCAGCAATCAGCCCTGGAGATGACCAGGGGCGGCCACTGCTGAGAACTATGTGGAGAGAGGCTGCGGTGAGTGCTGGCGCGGGACGCCGAGCCTGGGAGGGCCCTGTGATAAACCGGTGGGGGGAGGTCTGGATAGAAGGGGGCGGCAGGACGCACAAGAGGGTCGCTACGTGGGAGTGATCACACCTCCCTCGAGGATCCGGGACCGCGGGAGCCCGCGTCCTTCCCTCCCCCTCTTCTCCTCCCGGCTCATCGCAAACTCAGCCAGCGCCCCCTCCTTCCCTCCTCTTTTTCTCTCCCTACCCCCCAACCCCCTCGTTCAGCAGCTCCTGGTCGCACAACTCCCAGTAGCCGGAGCCTGGGTGGTGGTAGTGGGTGAGGGTGGAGGTTCCCACTAAGCTTCTCGTGGGTGGCCAACCTGGGGCTCCCACTCTCTTGTGCGTCCCTGAGAGGAGCTCCGGTTATCAGTCACAGGGACTGAAGATCCGCACCAAGGGTGTCGTGGGCACCGAGCTCCAGCTCCCTCTCCGGTCGAGCCCCTAGGGTGCATAAGGGGGCTGTGAGCACTGCAGACTGCATCCCTCCCCCACCTTCCCCCGCGCTGGTGGGCTGACCCTGCCTCTCCGTCTCTCCTCCGCCCCGGTAGAGCCCTGCTGCAGAGCCTCCGGCTGGGATAGCCGCCCCCCGTGGGGGCGATGCGGACAGCGCGGGACAGCCAGGGGAGCGCGCGGGGGCCGCAGCATGCGGGAACCCGCTAAACCCGGTGGCTGCTGAGGCGGCCGAGATGCTCGTGCGCGCAGCACGCCCCATTGCATCCTCCACCTTCTCTGGCTACAGGTACGTCCTGGTTGGTGGTATGGGCTTCGTGGGCCTGGGAGAAGAGAGGCTCAACCGGTGAGGAGAGAGCAGGAGAGGGTTCAGGAAGGTGGGGGGGGGAGCGGCGAGCGAGAGAAATCCGGAGAGGGAGAGTCCTGTAGCGAGGCATTGGAGGAGCACCAGGTGGCGCTGCGTCCCTGCATTCCACCTTGCTCACCCTAAATGCCAGGGCTGGAGTTTGCCCCAACTTCCCCCGGGTGCAACAACAGCCTGGCCGAGGGGCACGCACCTGTATAGGCATGCACAACTGTGCAGGCATTTGCAGGCAAGCTCTGTTGTGCACCTGATACAGTACTTGTGTGTGCACCGCCTGAGGACGTTTGAAGGCTCCAGCTGGCCGTGGGCATCTCCACGACGGCCTGCGGATGTGCGCAGAAAAGCGCGTGTGTCTGTTAGCGTGCGCAGCACACTGCCCACGTGCATCTAAGATTTGGCTCCAGGGTCTGCAGTGGAAAGGCTGGGGAGGGGTTGTACACTCCACATCCATCTGAGAGCTTTTTGGGAGCCTATCCCCTCACCCCCGCACGTTCTTTGCCAGCTCCCACGCGCTGGCCGGCTTGAGGGGGGGTGAGGGGTGGCGCACCTACTCTTCAGAATTTTGCATTTCACATGGCGTGAGAGACTGTGAGCACGCTTGGTTGTGTGCACCCATCTGTAGGGGGCGGGTCCTGGGGCGGCTTGCCATTGAGCAGAAAGCCAGTTCATGGTTTCTCCCAGCAAGGTGGGGAGGTCGGGGGCCTCAGGTTCTCCCAGGCACCTGGGAGCTTGGGGTCACAGAGAGCATCCTCACTTTCAAGCCCTTGGGATGTATCCTGCAGGGGAGGAGCTGGATCTGCAGCCGGTGGGTGCCACTAGTCCAAGAGCAAGATCTGTGGCGCACTGGGCGAGATCCCAGGGGGTGGGGTCAGTTAACCATCTAGGCACCGGACAGATTCAGGCTGCTGCACACAGGCACCGCCTATCACTCTGGGGCTGGTTCGGAGTTCGCTGCACTTGAGCAGGGGGCGGGGTCGATAACTTGGTCCATGCACCTGCGGAAGAAGAGGGTTGGAGCCAGCCTGGTCTGGGCATCTGCTTGTGGGTGGTGGTGGGGTTCATGGCTCTCTGGGCGCTCAGGAGCTGTGGTCGGCATCAAATTTGGGGAATCTTGTCTGGGATTTGGACCCAGCTGGGCCTGGGGGAAGTCGCTGGAGACAGGAGAGGAGAAGGCAGGATGCCAGGATGGGCTTGGGGACAGGGATGGAGAAATAGCTTGATTTGGAGTGATAGATGGAGATGGACGTGGGACGAGGGATGTGGATGGCATCAGCGATGAGGACTCCAGCGAGCGGCCAAAGCAGTCAGTGCTGGGGCCCTGTTTCACACTTCACTTCTAGAGCAGGTGCTGGGGCAGTCATTCCTGTCACCTGAGCCCCTCACTTAACGCCCTGCCTCTCACTGTCCTCCACCTCACAGGGACCCTAAGTGGCGACCATGGGCGGACTGGGCTACTGGACCTTGCTGGTACTGCCAGCCCTTCTGGTCTGGTGCGGTCCGGCGCAGGACGCGGCGGCGGAGAAGGGTACCCCAGCGCTGAACATTGCGGTGCTGCTGGGCCACAGCCACGATGTGACAGAGCGCGAACTTCGAAATCTGTGGGGACCGGAGCAGGCAACCGGTTTGCCCATGGACGTGAACGTGGTGGCGTTGTTGATGAACCGCACCGACCCCAAGAGCCTCATCACGCATGTGTGCGACCTCATGTCTGGGGCGCGCATCCATGGCCTCGTGTTTGGAGATGACACCGACCAGGAGGCTGTGGCTCAGATGCTGGATTTTATCTCCTCACAGACTTTCATCCCCATCTTGGGCATTCACGGAGGTGCATCTATGATCATGGCTGACAAGGTAAGACTGGGAAGAGATCTTCTGCCAGGGTCCTGGAGGGCGGATTCCACAAATGGCAGCCACCACGGGGGCCTAGGGAGCCCCTAGCAGCTGTTGGATATGAAAGCAGTTAAGTGGCCTCTGGCCTGTGAACCGTGCTGTGTCTCTCTGAGCCCGACATGAATGGAAACACCCTTTGCTTTTGGTCCTGAAGATGGGGTACACAGACGCACCTTGGTGTGCCAGGATGAGTACAGAAGATACAAAAGTAGGGTGGGGAGTGGTGATGCAATGTTTGGAGAATTTCAAGTAGCTCAGAGGCAAGCATGGGGGCACTTGGTCAATATGGCTATTTTCCTGCAGCGTCAGTTTTTTCCCCCCAGAATCTCCATTTTCTTTCTTTTGGTGAAGTGATTAAAACTACTTTAAAAATTCTAAGGATGAGTATGTGAGGTTTCTAGAAAACGCAAAAGGGGACAGATTCGTGTTTGGCTAGACTTACAGGAACGGATGTGGGAGCCTGAGAACCGCAAGGCTAGAGGCATGGGGGGGGGCTCTGCCTCCAGGGAGCAGGAGTGGGCACAGTAACTCCAGGCCCAGAGTGTTGGAGGGCACAGAGATTTCCTTAGGTAGCTCTTGTGTGAGCTGTCTGCTCTGCTAAAGGGCTTCCAAAGATTCTCAAATGGAAGGCATTGCCTCTGGAAGATTGGCCTTGGTGTGGAAGTTGAATTTCAGAAATGAAAAAAAGTGTGTCTGACCTTATGGGCTTTGGACCACAGTTCTTTGGAGCACTGGTTTGGAGAAGATGGGAGAGGCTTAAAGGTTGAGTGGGATGTTTGGAGAGCTTGTTAGGAATGACACTGAAGTCAAGAGAGGGAAGAAAGTTGGAAGGGAGAAATAAAACAAAAAAAATGAGAAAAAGAGATACCGAGTGTGCTGTCACTCCACATAAGCCCCAGGAAACCTGGGAAGGAAGGCCTAGGAGTACTTGTGTTCCGTGCCAGAAGCTGGAGACCTTCTTGGAGAGTATTCCTTAGGTAGCAGGAGGAGGAACCGGTGGATATTCATAATAGCACTTTCCTTCTGCCTTTCTCAAAACGCTGCTGTGTTCATCAAATCAGCTTCAATTATGCTCGGTGCATCCCAACAGCTCCTCTGGGGACTGTGTTAATTCTCCCTGGTCTCCTGGGCTGAGGCACATGCAGTGAAAACACACAGCTGATGCAGTATCTTACTGAACACTGATTTCAGAAGGTCCTCTATCTGACGGTATCTCTGAGGTGAGCATCTCCCAGCCACCTCTTGGATTTGGAGGCTCCTTCTCTGGTGTACTGAAAGCAGGGGATGGCTGAAACTGCAAAGTGACTTAGGGTCACTAAAACATCCTGAAACCCTCAAAGTGACTGAAGCAAGTGGCTGTTAAGCGACTTCACCTAAAACGTGCAGTGGATGATGAAAATAGAATCCTGTTTTTCTGGTCTCAAGCTGTGATCCAGGGCAACCAAACCTAATCTTTAACATTATCGTTCCTTATTTAAGAAGGACAGACATTTGGTTTATTGCATAGGAGGCACCAAGTCATGGGGAAGAGGCAGTTGAATCAGCTTAGAGGGCTTGTTCAATCAAGAAGAGACCACCCTATTTAGTAGAGGGGAGAGGGGATTAGATTGTAAAATCTATTATCATTGACCTTCCCTTTTAAAAGTTTTGGTCATAGAAGCAATGCACAAAAGTGAGTACACAAAAGTGAGGGCATGCACAGAAACAAATTAGGTAAGAAGGCACATGCCTTTGATGCCAGTATTCAGGAGACAGATCTCTGTGAGTTCCAGGCTAGTTAGGGCTACACAGTGAGAGTCATCAGAGAAATCTGCTACCAGGTGACCTGGGAAGGTGGTTTGAGGGTGGGAAGGTTGTGTAGCTTTCTGGCTTTTTATTCTATGAGCTGGCAAGTGTGTGTGGCAGGCTCTCCCTCACACAGTACAGAGAACCCCAATGTGAGCACTCCTTGGTATGCTATGACCTTGACCACCAATGAACCTAGATCCATAAGATGGTGGTCTCCAGGTAGTTCATCCACTGTGCCTCACTGAAAGGGAATTTTGAGAAGTCAGAGGAATGGGTCAATGCAATTTTTTTCCTGGAGTGAAATTGCCTTTTGTAGATGCAGTTAAAAGTGCATTTAAGTGAACAGAAGCATGTATTTAAAAGTAAAGAAGAAAAAGGACCTGGGAGATGGTAAGAGGATGGTGTGATAGGACAGTTCCAGAGAAGACAAGATTTGAGAGAGATGGAAGAGCAGGAGAGAAGACAGGACTGAGTGTCCATTAGTCAAGTACACCATAGTGACAGACTTCTCATTGATTTGGGGCTATCCAGAGTTGGCTTAGGAGACATTTCCTTTGTATCTGTAATGGGAGATGAGTCAAGATGGCCAGAAGTCACTGAAGTGGGCAGATACACCACTGGGAATATGCTGGGTCTCATGTACAGGAGTGATGTGGGGAGGAGTGGGCTTGGAGGGTGGTGTTTGGAGAAACTTGTGTTTAAAAAGGAAAGAAGCTGTCTGAAATGCAAACAGCCTTTCCTTCATTGGAAATGCATATGTTTGGCTTGTCTCCTTACCACCTGTTTGAGTTAGTGCTTAACATTCAGTGGACTTTATTTAGCTTTATGGAACAAGTCATGAGATGTTGTCTAAGACTGCCTTGCTTAGGTATGCTGACAGTATTGTGACCAGAAGCCTTGACCTCCCCAGTCTGACAAGACCCCATAAGGGGATTCCAGTTGGGTAATGTCACCCAGAACATACCTATTTTTTTTTTTTACTTCTGACTTGACAGTGTGAAAATAGTTGAATATTAGCGAAAAGGAATACACACACATGCACATGTGCACACACGATTTCACACATTTAAACCTTCAGGCATACATCACTTTTAACCTTTCTCTCAGGCTACTTCTTGACCCTTGAACAAAGCTTTATATCAGTGGTTATCAACCTTCCTAATTCTTTGACCCTTTAATACAGTTCCTCACGTTGTGGTGGCCCCTAACTATAAAGTTATTTTCATTGCTATTTCATAAGTGTAATTTTGCTATGGATATAAATAACAACGTAAATTTATCTGTGTTTTCTGATGGTCTTCGGTGACCTCTGTGAAAGGATCATTAAAAAGGAGATGAGACCATAGGTTGAGAACCACAGCTTTATACTGAGTGTAGTGGTGTCAAGTGGCAGGAGTTTGGCGTGTTGATTTACTGTGATGGTGCTGATTTTGGCTGGTATTGGTGGGTGGTCTTGCAATCAACGAAGTTGAAGGTGAGCATTAAGCTTGGTGTAGATGAAGCTCTCACCTCATCTTGGCTTGTCCAATTGAAATAGACTCCTGATGCACAGGAAACACAGCAAGTTGATCAGACCTTTACATCTCTGCTTACCATCCTTGAACTCCTCCTTTTTCTGACCTCCAGGTAGAAAAGGCTGGGTTCATATTTTACCTACATCTCTATGCCAGTCACTGTGTGTTATTTGGTATGTTTATTTTAATTATTTAAGAGTTACAGAAGGATTTATTTATTTTCCTTCATGTGTGTGATTGTTTTGCTAGCATGCATGCCTATTGGATTCCCTGGAAGTAGTTGTGAGCCATCACAAGGGTGTTGGGAATAGAATCTGGGTCCTCTGAAAGAGCAGCAAATTCTCTTAACTGCTTAGCCACCTCCTCAGCATTTGTATGTTTATTTTAAATGTATGTGAGCAGCATGTGGAGGCCAGAGGAACCCTTTAGCATTGTCTCTCATGTCCCATCAGCTTCCTCCTCTTAGAACATAGGTCTTTGAGGGCAGATTTAAAAATGTATTTATGTGGCTATGTGTTTTTGAAATAATGAATTCTTCTTCATAACAATAATGTCTTCATTTTGGAACACTTAGAAAGTACATTAAAGTTAAAGGAAGAAAATAAAAAGATTGTCATAAATTTTGTCAGTGAGATTAGCTGTGGCAGCATGTGGATGCATTCCTTCTAAGAACAGTTTATACTGTTCTTAGTGTACAGAATTATACTATTTTTTAAAAAAATTTGAGACAGGATTTCTCTGTGTAGACTTTGCTGTCCTGGAACTAGCTGTGTAGACCAGGCTGGCCTTGACCTCACAGAGATCTGCATGCCTCTGCCTCCGGAGTGCTGGGATTAAAGGAGTGTACCACCACTGCCTGGTGAATTACACTATTTTTATGCTATTATTTTTTTTGTACAATGCACTCTGGGATTTTTGACCAGAAGACTCATGTTTTTAGTTCTGGACAACTCTCTGGCCTGTCTGTTGGGTACTTCCTCTCTTGTTTTCTTGATTATTTCCGTGATCTTGAATTGCCCTTTCTTCATTGTGCACATGTGCAACTCTATGCAGAGTTTCTCAACCAAGCCTCCCTGTACTGTACTTATTTTTATATTTTCTTTGTGAGCTTATTTTCAGAGCAATTATATTTTAGCTTTAGTTGAAATAGAATTATATCACTTCATTCCTTCCCTCCAACCCCCGCCAGTAACCTTCCCCCAAACTCCTTCCATACTCTTCCTTAAATTGATAGTCACATTTACTTTATCTTTGCTACATACATATGTATAAATAGAACATGTTGAGTCAATTTCTGTTGTTTGTGTGTATATGGTTTTATGGCTGTCCAGTCTGAATTGGACAACCAATAAGGGGGCTCATCAGGGTCTCATGAACCCTGAGTAGCCTGGACTTTGTTGTATAGTTCAATGATGAACTCAAACTTGTGATCCTCCTACCTTTACCCACCAAGTGCTGAGATTATAAGCATTTGACACAATGTCCACTTTATGCAGCACTGGGCATCAAAACCAAAACTTGAGTAACAACCCCAGCCCCTAGTTTTAAAGAGTTTCTTCTGCCTCATATCTGTAAGGAGTGGGCTTTTTATCATTTATTTTCCCTTGAGGTATTGGGGTCACTGGGACTTATGTGTGGGAGTCCAGTGATCTCCCACCAAGCTGCCCTCCAGAACCAGGGATCCTAAAGCAGAGTTACCATTAACAGCTCGATCAGGAACATTCCCTTTTCTCTTCATGGCTTATAGTGCAGGGTGAACCTGTTTATATTGGTGACTTCCTTATGGCAGGGGCTTCCTTGGTTGTAGCTCTTGGAGGATGGTGTGGACGTCCCGACTTTGTTCATGGGGAGTGGCACAACTTTTCAGTGTTTATCCCCTCTACCCGGGGGTGTTAGCACTGTGATCACATGGTTTATGTTGTATCCATTTCCCCATGGGTCTCATGGCTTCCATCTTCATATTTGAAATTGTGAAATCTGATTTTTCCCTCTTTCCTTTCTTTTCTTCCTTGTTCTCTTTTACTGGTGTTTGGGCTGGAAAGCCTAAGTGCTCAGCCTATGCTCTGCCACCGAGCTGCGCCATGGTTCTAGCTCCCATCTTTCACTTGATGCAATTCGTTCAATCAAGTAGATAATTTTTTTGTGTGTATGAGTGTTCATGTACGAGTGTGTGTGCATTTGTGTGCATATGTGTTTGTGTGTGCATGTAAGAGTGTGAGTGTGTGTGTGTGTGTGTGTGTGTGTGTGTGTGTGTGTGTGTGTGACTGCTGGGTATGTATGTACCGTGGCATGTATGTGACTCAGAAGAGAACTTTTCAGGACTCGATTCTTTCCCTCCTTGTTTCTACCTCAGTGCCTATTTCAAGATGGTGGCCCCGAAGCTTCCAACTCATGCTCCTGTTTCTGTCCCTTTTCTCTGCTCCCCATCTTCTTGTGGAAGCGCTGGGATTACTGATATATATATATATATATATGTATATATATGCATATATATCTGACTTTTCAGGTGTGTTCTGAGGGTGGAGCTGAGGTCCTCAGGGTATGTGGCAAATGCTTCTACCTGCTGAGCCAGCTCCCTGGTCCAGTCCTCTGTACTTTTGATTTCTTGTTTTTCTTTAATACCTAACAATATTATACAAATATAAAAAAATGGAAATTATCTGTATAAATTTGGTGTCTTAGAAGCTGTGGAAGGAAGAGGCTTGAATATGTTCCCTCTGGTTTTGGACTAGTTTTATTTTCTAAGCTGCTTTTATGTTTTTAAAACCTGATTATATATTTTTGGAATTTTTCCTTAGAGTGCGTTCACTATAAAGAAGTTTATATTTGATTTTAAATGGCTGCAGAATGTTTAGACCATACTCAGCTGAGCTGTTCCTTCATACCCCCTTTGCTTTGGTTACTTGGTAAATGTTTGTTGATTGAATGAATCAAGTCATTGGTTCTGGTTCCAGCTTGATGCTGCTTCTGGATGGACAAACATGTCAGAGTATGTTTCAGGGCTCTTTTTGTTCCCTAAGCGTGGAGTGATTTCATACATGTGTTTCAGTTCTTCTTCTCTCTTTAGCAGGAGATAATTATTAGCCATCCTGAGTACTAGTGTGAATTAGGGGTTGCACATGAGCTGCCCCCCCAGCAGTGCTAAGTGACAGCTCAGTGGTAGGCAGAGGAAGTTGGTGCTCTTGCAACCTGGCAGCTCCTGAATTGGTTATGAGTGATGGGCCCATTAAACACCCAAGGCTCAGGGAAAGGGCAGACATGCAGATCTGAGTGTTGGAGGAGCCCACTCAGCGGCTGCTGCAGCATCGGCAGGGAACTGGGGAGGGTGGGAAGCCTACCTCTAGCTGCATGGAGAAGGCATGTCATAGGCAGTCATCCACTCCCTCCCACGTAGAGCAGCAGGGAGCAGCAGGCAGCATCTCAGAAGGCATGACTAAAGCTCCAAACGGCCCTCTAGCTTCTTGGGAATGGCTTTGACCCTTCATGGCTGTGGTTTCGTGCTTTGAGGGTTGTGTTTGTCTTCTTTCTGGTAGCCTCAAATGGAAAGCACTGCTCCAGATAGAGGGAATGGGAAAAGAGAGGGAGGGAAGAGGGACAGTGGAGGAACAGGACTGAGTCTTGGGTTCACCATGAGAGAGTCAGTGACATCTACTGACTCATCTTGCAATGAGGTCATCACGTAAAGAAGCGGTTATATGGCCATTAACTGGGTGTTTTGTTGCACTCACACCTCCAAAGCCTTTATCTTTCCAATTTCAATTAGTTACCAACACTTTAAAGTTTAAATCATAGCTTAAAAAAACTCTAAGTCCTGGCCACACTGCCGCTTCTCCATGGCAACTGTTGGCTGGATTAGCCACCTCTCCATTTGACAGGATAGCAATCTCTCTTTAGGCTCTACTTTCCCACTTTCCTGCTTTGTAATGACGTTGTTTCTGAAGGCTTTGGGAATCAAGACCTCTGATGTTTGTGAAGAAAATAGCTGTACCCCACTAATATTTCCTTCCATCTTTCCCTCCCTTCTTCCCTCCTTCGTTCCTTCATTCCTGCCCATTCGCCAGCCTGCTTTCTTGCCTGCCTGCCTTTCTCTTTCCCCTTATGGGAGAGCATGTGGATAAGGGCTCATGTACTTCATGTGTAAACGAAAAGGCCAGAGGAGATGGCTGGATGGTCTGCTCTACATCTCTTCCCCTTGTTTCCCTTAGGCAAGGTCTATTGCTGAATCTGGAGCTCACATTTTTGGCTAGACTGGCAGGTCACCAAGCTCTGGGGAGCCTCTTGTCTCTATCTGCCCAACCCCAGTGCCGGGGGTGTACATGCGGTTACATAGGTGCTAGGGACTGGAACTCAAGTCCTCATACTTATACAGCAAGTGCCCTCACCCACTGGGCCATCTCCCGCAGGGGCTGCTCTTTCATGGTGTATGTGCTGTCATGTGGATGCAGTTGCTCATTTATAGAGACATTTTGCCTGGCTGTTGCAGACCTTATGCCCTTCTCTGCACACTACTCTGGGTGCTGCTACCAGTTAGATTGAGTTGGAGCATCTCAGAGAACCTTGGGCCAAGAGTCTGAGAACCTGTGTACCATCCCCACATACCTGTTCGGCCTTGGAATATCCCTTCATCTTTCTCAATCTCCTGCTCTCCTGTGGCAAAATAAGAGTCTGGGTGGCATCATCTCTAAGACTCTTTCTAGTTCTGGAAATTTTCTCTCTGCCTTCAAGGAAAGACTAGCAAGCAGCTCACCAAAATGAGACTAGTGACACTGGGGGCAGAAGATGTCCGTCTTAATCTTTTAGAGAATGCTGAATGGTTAATATGTTGGCTCTTGAGTTAAATAACCTGTGTTTAAATCCAGGCTTCACCATTTGGTAGCTGGGCAACTGTGGAGGTCATTAAAGAATGAGCTTCAGTGTTTTCATCTGTAAAATGGGATGTGTCAGTTGCTTTTCTGTTACTGTGATACAAATACCATTATCAAAAGCAATTTGTGGAGAAAAGGCTTATTTTTGCTTATGGTTCTAGAGGGATAGAGTTCATTATGACTGGGAGGCACGACAATGGTTATGCTTTCCTGGTGACAGAAGCACAAAGGTGGCTAATCACTTTCCATTCACACACAAGGAGAGACAGAGACACACAGACACACAGACACACAGACACACAAGACACACACACACACACACACACACACACAGAAGCCAAGCAATGAAACCTCAAAACCTACCAGCAGTGATACACTTCCTCCTAAAGGTTCCATAACCTCCCGAACAATGCCACCAACTGGGGACCAATTGCTCAAACACTCGAGTCTGTGGTGGACAAACTACCACATGGGAACAATGTTTACACATGGTTTTCATGAGTTTGGGTGTGGAGTTAGGTCATGGATGAAGAGTGAACTCTGGTCAGTGTTTGGCTCATCTTAAATAATTCTTAAGATGTGACATACAGTGTTTACATTTTGTGGTTTACATTTTTCACCAACGTGTATTTTTAGCACCTACAGATGGGGGATTAAGAGAATATGAGGTTCTAAGGCATTTCCTATGTGAAATTGAGTCCTTAGAGATGAAGGATCCCGTGTGGCATGGTTCATTCTTCCCCCAGGGCTAGCCATGACCTGGCTCTGCCTTCTAAGGACTTACCACGAACTTCTTCCTGGAGTGATAAATGACGATCCCCACTTCTTCATGATAAGAGCACTGGAGACTCAGAGCAGGGAAGTTTCTTGATGACTTTGTAAAGTTGAGAAACCCGCTAAGAATAGCTGGTGCACTGACTGTGGAGAGAACAGTTTCCAAACCCGCCTATAACAAGCGCCCTCCTCCCTTCCCTCTTCGGCTGAGCGATCAGGAGGGTGCAGTCTTGCAGGTTGCAGCTTACCAGGTCTCATCTCGCCTCTTCTCTGCATGTTTGCCCTTTTCTCATTGAAGCCCCACACCTGTGGGCTCATCTCTACGCTGGGCAGTTGAAAGACTGTTAGGTGTGTGAGCTTGTGCCTGCAGGTAATTAGGCAGGCTTGGCTGTTGGTAGTTTTCTCTAAACTTCTGTTTCTGGTGTGGAAGGGCTGTAGAGCTAGAGCGGGGTACCTGGATTTAGCTTAAGCTGTCAGCAGGGTCTGGTGTTCCCTATTGGCTGTGTCCGGGCCTCAGCAGGCTTGAGGTCCCTCTGGAAATGAGCCATCAAGTTCTAGTTCTTACGCCGGTAACCCAGAAGTGAAGAGTGGGTGGGTGACACAGGAGCAGCTGGGAGTGGGGGTGATCTCTTTGACCTTTGCACTTCATGATTCCCCCAATTGGACCGTATGTCGTACTGGGCATCGGGCCTTGCGGTGTAGAGTATTGCAAATAGTTTCTCATGTAACCCTGCCAGGGATTAATGACTCAGTGTGAACCTGGGACTCTGGCAGCCCCAGAAACATTTGTTTAAAGATCCTCTATGTTCAGATGAGGGAATAGACCTAGAGAGGGCTGTGGAGGCCTTGTTGAGAACCACATGGCTAGAAAGTCGGTCTATTGTTCTTATTTTTTGCCTATTTTATTTCCCTTCTAAGTGCATGATTGTGAGCTCAGTGGGTTATGGGGACGAGCATCAACACAGACAACCACCAAGTTTTATTATGGACAACAGACTTTAAAAGATGTTCTGATTGTCTTCTCTTGTATGATTAAGATGCTCAAACCCTTTTTAAAAATTGAAGTGATGGACTTCTGCCATAGTCTGTACTGCAGGGGTCACCACCCCAGTTTTGATATATAAACGATAAATAAAAATTGTGTATTTGAAGTATACATGTGATGTTTCTATATACTACTATATGGTGAAATGTATATCTAAGCCAATGACAGATCCTTCTCTTCACAGCTAACATTTTTTTTCTAATAATCTTTGCTTGGTGGTACCACATCTCCACTTCCAGCAATATCAATACATTAGAATTTTAATTGCTCATCTATCTGTCTGTCTGTCTGTCTATCTCTGCATCCACCCATCCATCTATTTATCTATCTTGTGTATGTACATGGGCATGGACAGGCCGTGGCAAACTTGTGGAGGTGGGAAGACAACTGGTGAACTTCACTGTTTTCACCATATGGGTCCCAGGGATCAAACTCAGGTCATCAGCCTTGGCAGCACCTTCATCTGCTGAGCCACTTCGAGCTTTCTTGCTAACCGCTGACACCTTGAAGGACCAATACCAAGTCTCTGGAATCTGTTCAGCTTAGAAGTGAAAGCTGATGTATTTTGCTCGACATCTTCCATAGGTTTAAGAATATTCACTATTTTGGGAAAGGGAGAGATGGCCTTTCAAATTCACTGGGAGATAAGCTTTGTAGGGCCATGAACAGTGAACCGTGCTGAAAACCTGACTAGATGCGCAACATCTTTAAAAATGTATGAACTCCAGCTGCTTGTAAGGGCATGCACCTGTAATTCTAGTACTTGAGAGATACAGGCAGGAGTATCAGAAGTTTTAAGATTATTCTTGGCTATATATAGGTAATTAGAGGCTAGCCCAGGCTATGTGTAAGACAATCTGGGCTATGTGTGACCCTGTCACAAAAAAACCCCACAAAACCTAAGCAAAACAACAACAATAAAACCAACAAAACAAACTCCCCCAAATAGTTCAACAGGTTCTAAGTAGTGATCCAACTCTTAAGTGAATGGATTTCTATTGCTGTGAAGAGACATCATGACCATAGCAACTCTTATAAAGGAAATCATTTAATTGGAGTAGTTCGTTTGCAGTTTCATAGGTTCAGTCCATTATCATCATGGTGGAGAGCATGGAGGCATGCAGGCAGACAAAGCACTGGAGAATTAGCTAAGAGTTCTATATCTTGCAGGCAACAGGAAGTCATCTGAGACACTGGGCAGTATCCTGAGCATAGGAAACCTCAAAGCCTGCCCCCACAGTGACACACTTCCTCCAACAAGGCCATACTTACTCTAACCACACTTCCTATGAGATTATGGGGGCCAATTCCATTCAAACTACCTCAGGGCCATGTTTCTCAAAGTGTAGTTTCTAAGTAAAGGGAATAGCTCCATTATACATACCACTATTGTTAGGAGAACTTTCAGCCACAAGTAACAGCATATTTGACCAGTGGTAGCTTAAAATCCTTAAAATAGCAAGCAGTTTAATTTTCAGTGGAGCCCCATGTCTAGTTGGGTGACTCAACGACCCACAAAAGACTCAGGTCCTTCTTGCCTCTATTTTTCTGCTTTGATTTCCTTGGCAGCTGGCTCCTCTTAGTTAACAAGATGGCTGCTTTTGTTCCAGCCTGACTCCCTGCTACATCTCTGAGGTTACAGATGTGCAGTCACACTAGTTTTTTTTTATGTGGGTTCTAAGGATTTGAACTCAGGTCTTCATGCTTGCTTAGCAATTGCCGTTACCCAGTGAGTTAGCTTCCCAGCCTCATTGACTTCTTTGAGGCAGAGTCTCACTTTCCAGCCCAGTCTGGTCATGAACGTGCAGTTCTCCTGCATCTGCTTCCTGTTCTGGGCTTACAGGCATACATTAGCAAACTCAGAATCTGTCCAGAATTTTCTCCTGAGAACAGGCAACATAGCCGAGTGAAACTTGCGCCTGTGAGCAGTGTTGGAAGGGCCGCCTAGGCACTACAGCTGCCCTACTCTTGGGCAGCATGGATGCTGGCATCAGCAGAATTGCATTTAGCGCTAGAGGGCAACTTCCTATGGAGAGATATTGTCCTGTGTGCCAGGGATCACCTTCAGCATCGTGCAGGTTCTAAATGGAATGTGTGAAGGATTCCAGAAAAGACATTTTAAGTGTGTTCCACTAAAGAAAGAGGTCTCAGGGGCATTTGAGAGTGATGTTCAGACACCCTGTGGCCAGTTGCAGGGTGGAAGGTTTTAGTTTTACTGTTTGTTGTTCCATCTGGAGATGGAACTGAGGGCTAGAGTTTCGGCTTAGGTGAGGGTTAGGTGTTGGCAGTCGGGGTCCATAGAATCAGCTGTACCTGTCAGCATGTGGCTGAGATAACAGTGACTGTCTGACTGTCAGCCTGGGCTGGGCCACTGAGGTTCTTTGAAAAAGTTTTTATTACATTCATTTATTTATAATGTATGCAGGGGAGTATGTTACTGGAGGTCAGAGGACAACCTGTGGGAGTCCTTTCTTCCATGTGCATCCCAGGGAGTGAGTTCGGGTCATCTGGCTAGGTGACAAGGGCTCTCTAGCCAGCTCTTGTTCAGACACTTTGAACCTCTCAAATCTTTTATCCGTTTTTAAGTCCCCAAGCCCTGGTGCTTCAGGACTTGGGATCTGGCTGAAAACCAACACACTCACTTTCTCCAAGTATGTGAGAGATTTGATCTAGATGTGACTGGCATGGGGGAGGAATTTATGATCCCTCCATTCTCACTTTGAACCCCAAAGGTCTTTGCATATCCCAAAGGGCATATGCAATTGAAAAAGGAGAAGACCTATGTGCATATCAGCCCAGCTGGCTCACATACAGAAAATAGGGCATTCACAGGTTGGTGACACCGTGTTCACTGCTGGAGACAGTGTTTTGGGTGATTGTCAATGATCTCTAAGTGGGCATTTCTGCAACTGCTTCCATTCAATCAGCACTTATTTACATATATCCATATTTTCACCTCCTAATATAGTAATGTGCTTATATTCTAGGGACAGAGCCACTCTAATTTTCCCAGTAGTCAGATTATTATTATTATTATTATTATTATTATCATCATCATCATCATCATCATCATCATCATTATTATTATTATTACCCCCTCCTCTTCTTACAGTTGTATTCCCTGTGTCTGGAACATTTGCTTGTTGTAGGAAATGTTGGTTTGATTCTAGTTGCCTCTCCCAAGGAAAACAACCTGAAACTGCTTTCTGAATGAGTTATCATTTTAGATTTTATAACTTCCAAGAGAATGGAAATGCCTTTCTTTCTCTTCCTCTTCTCCCTTCTCCTCTCTTCACCTTCTACCTCCTCCCCTATTTTTACTCCTCTTTTTGCTTTGACAGTCTCATGTAGCCCAGGTTAGCCTTGAAATCACTTTGTAGCCAAGGATAAGTTCCTGACACAGTGACCAGCTCCCAAGTCCAGAGGTCACAGGCATGTACCACCACACCCAGTAGGATATGTCATTTTAGTTGTTTATTTATGCAAGGCAAAACAATTCCACAGAATGCAATTGAGAAAAGTTGTTTAGTTGATTAACAACTAGTATGCTTCCATATGTCCCTTATCCATCATGTTGCTGACTTGAAGAACAAAAATATGAGTTGGAATGGCAGTTTATTTTTATCTGTAATTGTTTCTGAACTTTATATATTATAAAGGGCTCCTTTTAGATTTCAGCCTTGACTTGAGTGTAGTTTATCACCATCTGTTGGTTCTTTCTTTTTATCTTTTTAGATTAAAAATTTAATTGTGTGTGTGTGTGTATCTGCAGTACCTACTGCAGAGGCCAGAAGTGGGCATTGGTTCGTCTGGAGTTGGAGTTACAGGTTTTGAGCTCCCAGTCCCGATACTGGGAACTGAACTTGGGTCCTCTGTAAGAGGAGCAAATGCTTTTAACCCCTGAGCTGTCTCTCTGGCTACTATCCCTAGATTCTTAACAAAGCTTATTTTGTCAAAACAAAACAAACTCATTCTGGAATATACGTGTCTCAGTTGGGGTTTCTATTACTGTGAGCAAACACTAGAACCAAAAGCAACTTGGGGGAGGAAAGAGTTTATTTGATTC